TAGTATTTTATAAATCGCAAACATTGCATAGAAACTGGCGTACGCCATTTTTTTAGGCGTATATCCCTTTATAAATGAGGCTCCTGGTCTCAAACTGAGAAAGGAGGAAAAAAAACTCAACAGCATCACTCTGTTAACAGGGATGCAATTATGGAACAGCCATATTCAGATTAAGGTTAATTTATTGTCCATTATAATGGCTTCTTAATGGCTGAGTTTTTAGTCAAAACAGCCTCAGTCTTTCTTTGTCTTTTCTTTGTGCTCCAGAAAATACACTGTTTCCAGATAGTAGTAATTAAGGTGAGGACAAGAGAAGAGGTATGGCATTTCTCTGGATGTTGCTCCAATACAAACCAGCTATAAAGACATAAAATGACTACATTATACATGTGCCTCATGTTATCAAGTATGACATGAATTAGCTTTTAATATTCACATTATGATTCGAAATCATTGCCTTTTTGTACTCATACAAAAACACACTTAGAATTGTGCTATGGATTATAGGTTAAAAGCATAATGCAGTTCAGCCTGGATGAGAATGGCTTTGGTTTCACTGTGAGGCCTGGTGGAACATTTCAGATGGATTAACGATAACAAGTTCTAGATTTCAGAAGAGTGTGTGTCTGTGTGTGTCTGTCATTTCCCACAGACATTGGAAAAAGTGTCAAGGTCAGTCACACTGTAGGCTACAGTGAGATCAAACAGGCCACATCCACAGGTCTCATCTAACAGGTTGTCAGCAGCTGAAAGAGGCCGTTGTTGTTTTTCAGGCAGGGGGGCACTTTATCGAGAGAACCCACCATCAGTGTTTTCCTAATATGCTCTTACAGGAGAAACAAACTCATGCATAAGAACGTCTAAACAACGTCTACAAACAAACATCTAACTGGCAGAAAAGTATGGAAATATAAGTTAGAAATAAATACAGTTCAACCACCATTTTCCCTTTGGCTCAAATGTGGGCATCACTATTTACACAACCTTTACTATACATCATTTTTGTTTCATGGTGGCTGACATCGTAACAATATTTACCTCACATTAAGAAAACCCACATGCCTAGAATGGAAAAAATATTAATGATGAAGCACTATTTCTGAAAAGATGGCTTAGTGTTTTTTTTTTAGGGGACTGTATCACTGTCACAGTTCCTGTGGCTCTGTTGGAATCAGATACTTGTCCAGCCAGCAGAATCTTCCCATCACATGAATGTGATTAAAGCATCAAGGTTTGTGGATAAGCCGAGAGCCCACTGATGTTCCTGCCTCTGTAATTCTCTGGTTAGCACTGAGGCTATGTGTTTTATGGCTTGTCTGTTATTTCCTCTGTGCCTCTGGTGTGTTTCTCATGTTTAGACAGTAAATAAGGCTGAGAGAAGGGAGACAAAACAAAAGTGACTGACAGCTTTATTTACATGTTCACTCATGCATCAACTTTTCGTTTTGGCTGGCTACACGTGAAACCAACCTGTTTAGATGACTTGAAAATAACTAGATATTATGTGAGAGAACAAGGAAAGTGCTCAAAGCCTAGTCACATGTTTGTCTCAAACTTTTTTTATTTGGTGGACAGAGCAGACTGAGGCAGCTCATGCTCAGGGTTTCAATGTCAGTGATGTCATGATAGCTGCAAACCATTAAAACCAAACATTTAGTCGGTTGTTTGTTTCATTTTGTGGTTGGATGTCAAAATAAACAACGGCTGGTGTTTTCAACTAATAATGATCTCAGTATTGGCATTGATCCTTATACATGACATCCTGTGTGATAAGGCTGTTTGGCACTGGTTCAAGATGCTTGCTTACAGGATACAGCTCAGACTTAGGGGGCTTTTAAAGGCACAGCGGCAGCAATCCTGGAACAAAGCAGGAGACTATCCCCCATCCTCATATTAAAAATGGATGTAAGATAGGCTGGCTAGTCAAAATGAATGTCCCTCTAAGATAACAGCTCTCATGTTGCCACTGGCGTGTTCACTCAGGCATGATGTAATGACGGCAGATAGGACAGAGTTTGATGCATTCACCCTCAGTGGCCCTTACGGATTTGCCAGAAAAGGCCTTCCAGCTAGTAAGACGCTGGAAGAAGTGGGTAAGTGGGCCACTGTTCCAAAGGCAAGTCAATGGGAGTTAATCAATATATGAAGGTTGGACAAGTTACAAGTGTGTTCTGCATTGGCCTACCTTCATTCAACAAACAATATCAAAAAATCTGAATAATACATTTCCTAAGATGGTAAGAATGTGTCCCAACCATGCACTTCGACAGTTTCAATGTAAGCAGTATATGTAACTGTTTGTCAATCCAAAATAAATTGTTCTACCTCTAAAAATGTAATTCCTAGGACTTGCTAACATTTACACAGCAACATTTATTTTCACAACAACCACTTACCAAATATTTAGTTAGTTTCACAGCACACCTGTATTGATTTCCATCTCAGCTACTGTAGTCTACCAGCTGATCTACAGTATAGGATAACATGCCCTAACACCTTCAGTTTGTCTGGTTGTCTCGTCTTATCCGGACCTTTTTTTCTGGTCCCGGACATATATTTATTATTATATATTTTTAGACACTGAGTAAACAGTTACTATATTTTTCCCTTCATTATTCAGAACAGCATAGTGGTAGAGCTGTTAGAGCAGTAGCAGACAGTCTTGAGCAGCAGTGAACATTTGGCCGCACACATCCACAGGATTAACAGGAGAGAGCAAGACAAAGGCTAGCATTTAATTCTTTTTTCTGGCTGCTTGAGAAAATACACTTCAGCTGCTTTGCACTCTCCTCCGAATGATGGAAATCAATCTGTACACGTTCACTGTAGTTATAAAGATGAAAAGCAACTGGTCTCACATGTTAAATAGAGATCTTACATGATTTCAGTGTTGCTAAGCATCTGAACAAAGCAGACCCTGCAGCTGCATCCGCCTCCGATGGTTGGGCTGCTGACCAGCTGCTGCTCAAATAAGGTTAAAGAGCCTCTGAGGATGTGCTATTAGACATTTCAGCATTGTATATCCCTTGCAGCCAGGCAGGCTTTCTAACACACAGTGACACAATCGTTTTTATTTCCTCTAGAATGACGCATCATTTAAACAAAAAGAGTCATGTCAAAAGTGATTTAGTTGAAGCCATGTGTTGGAAAAGCATCTATAGTAGACGTTTTGCAGAGAAAGCTGTTTCGATTTGCAATCTTTGCTCTATTGTTCTTTTAGGACATGTTTAGGTTGTTCAATATCTGAGAAAAAGGCTGAATGAAACGTGGAAACTAGCTCTTTTCATGTTTCTCTCACACTTCATTTTGTATCTTTCTAAATAGTTTTGAGAATGCTGTTAGTCATTGCAATGCACACTGTGACCTCTGTGAGTGACCTCTGTGTGAGTGCTGAGAGGAGGACAGATATAAAACACTTTTATGACAGACATCCTCCGGCAGGAGTGGTCCACAATAATAAAACCTGGCTCAACCGCTGGTTTCCTCTGGCTTGGCAAGGACAGGCAGGACTGAAGTGAAAAGACAGCCATTTATCCTGGACTAACCCTGTGTCCTGCAAAACCTAAAAGAAAAAACCTGAAGGCGTTACCGCTTCAATGTAGCAAGGTTTTATGACTCATCACATACCACAAGTCTTCACCGCAACCATTTCCTTACACTGAGCAGTGTTTTTATGAATGAATTCATGAAACACAATAGGACCTTGGTGTTGAAAAGTACTTTTTGACCTGCAAAACATGTACTTGCAGTCACTATGCTACATGTATTTTCAGAGTAACGTGCATCATATGGAAGAATAATCAATACCAGCCACAGCTCAGCCCATTTCCTTCTTCCTGCAAGAACAGAGCAGAACCTCATTAGCAGGGACGACTGGTGACAGCTACCAATAGAGACTGACAGGAGACAGCACTACGCTGCAACACAAACAACTGAGTAGTGCATATTGTAAAAATAAATCATGTAATAATGATGTAAAAAAAAAAGACAATTCTTTAAAGGTCAAAGGCCATGTTTTTTTTTTATTTTTTACAGCATTACTCCTTTTATCTTTTTATGTAATAATCTAGACGAAAGTAGAAGGAGGGGTTAGATTCTCGTTGGAAGACAGACGGGGTAAAGTTTGAAAATTACTCTGTCAAATAAAAAATATATAAATACATTACATGATATCAACCGCCGGAAAGAATAGTCATTTAAGTGGATCATACAAGGGGGAAAGGTGCATTTAAGGCAACTGCTAGTTAGCTGAGTTTGCACAAAAAGAGTCTCAGTCATGCCCCTTGGTAGAGTCAGTGTTACTGTCCGCTATGTAATGAGATGCCTCGATACCCTAGACCTGTGAATGGAGCCGGAGGGGGGGAGGGGTATGATAGCAGATACACTAGCTCAGGTACATAGGGAACAAGCACGGTCAACTAGTGAATATTGCAGGGACTGGGCAGTTGAATTGACAGGAGAGAAGTGGAGCAGGTGCAGTGTTGCGTTCACTTTCTCCCGTTTCATTTTGGGGAAGTGGCGATTAGTGTTACGTAAAAGAGGGTCGTTAGTATCAAATACATCTTTGTTAGTAAGAGAACAAGGATAGAGAGACACTGCAGTGATCTTGGGACAGAAAAATGTGTACATTTTATTGTATATATTGTCTTTAAAGTAGAACTTCGTTTTTTTAGCTTAGCTTTTGTCCATGTTTTGTATGTCAAGGAGAAACTGATGACATATTTTTTTTTATTTAAATCAATCTACCAATTGTCCGACTAGAGTTGATGAGGATATTTCGCAACGAAGTCTGAACATATTTACAAGTTTGTTAAATCATTTGTAACGTTAAAGGAAACATTTAAAGTAGCTCAGGTGAAACCAGCACCCCCTGCTGGTCAATCCGAGAGAAACAGATTGACTGATAAAGAACATTGTGACAGAGGGAGGGAAAGGAAAAGGGAGGCAAATATTTGATTATTCCACATTCATATTCCAACGATTTTTCATTTATAATTTTCAAGGAAGTTATTCTTTGCAGCTCTCACTACAATAAAACAGAGCAATTTGTACCCTTTAGAGTCATTTATAAACTACATCAACTGTTCAAGCTGCTTCAGAAAATAAAAAAAAGGTGCAAGTATTCACAGAAATAAAAAGGGGAGACTACATTAAATAATTCAGTCACATGTACATATCAACAAATGTATATATTATAGTACAGAGAAGGGATGTTTTCTCAGTGGAAATCTTGTGACACAGTATTTGTCTGGTGGGAGCTGTAAAAAAGAAAGATAACCAGAGAGTAAAGCTCTTACAGTCTGCTGGTTTTTGAAAATAAATTAGAAGCGGTTTCACAATCTGTGGAGATCCAGGTTGAGTGGAGCTGGATCGAAGAGTGTCGTTCCCCTCGTGATCTTGTCTTTCTCTTTTTAACTCTCATCGCTTAAAGTCGTGAAGACGTGTCGACCTGAGCGTCCTGTATCCCCATGTTAGTGTCTTTGCACACCACTCTGCAGTGTCTTTGACCTCAGGAGAGTCCAAGCAGTCTGTGTTCGTGCCACTCTGGGATCAGCCATGACACACCATATTCCTTAGTGATCCTTACTATAACCTGACCTGAGGCCAGTACTGGCCTCTACACTCCTGGGACCTGAGTTGGCTCGCTTTTATTCACCAAGAAGTTGCATTTGTGAAGAACATCCTTTTGGGTTTTGAAAGGAAAGAAGAGATGTTGTGGTCCGGAGGTTTGTTTGCCTCGTCTATGAGTTTTTTCTGTCTGATTATACTGTGACTAAATGGTGATGAATGACACTATATGACCCTGCATGGCAGAGAAAACATTTCCCAGGCTTTGGTTTGGAATTGTCAAAGCATGTGTGTGTGTGTAAGTGTGTTTTTGCATCTGCATGCGTCTGTATATGCATGCGTGTCCGTTAACTGTGTGTATGTAGGTGTGTGTGTCTGAACAGGTGTATCTACTGTACGTGTGTCATTCTTGCAGCCTGCTGCAGCACTCCTAGCTGCATTTACAGAAGTTTATTGTCCAATGCCGATCTAAAAAAAAGTCCCCCTGGGCAGTATCCTGAGAGCCCCACCCCCATTTAAAAAAATGTAAGGATAAAATCTGAATTGCGAACGTCCATGGCCAACACACGACACATCCACCTACACTGACAGCAGTCACTGATGTTATGACACGAGCAGCCACTGCTACGCACATTGTTCCACAGTCGTCCAGAAAATAAATAACACTGCAGTCACAAACAAGATCCCCAAGCTGACACACCACCTGAGAGACAAAGAGAGAGGAGTCACAAAGAATTAGAGGAGTCAAAAGTAATGTGCAAATTGAACGTACACTGCACATTTCATTATGTTTAGACGACAGTATATATTCTACTTCTTTTTGGGGTTAAGCAATGTTTCAGCAAATCCGTCAACCATCCACACTTGAAAATAAATCAACCTAAAAGTACAAATAAATGTTCCTGTACAACCATTTAAGAAACCCCAAAGTCTGGGTAATGAGAAAAGATCACGTAGAAACACGGGTTGAAATCAAAGAGGACACAACAAACAAACACAAGATATGGTGATGTTGATGTGAAGTAAATATCTTATGCTGATGTCAAATGGAAGAAAAGAAAATGTAACTGTTAAATTCAAAGACATTAAAGGTGCAAAGATGAAGAAGAAATGACGGATGAATGTTGAAGGCAAGGTGTAGCAGGTACATGTGTAGGAGGGAAAGTGAGCCGGCCAGGGTCAAATCGTTTTTGTTTCTTTAAAGCACTGAGCCACCCAATGGTCACAGTGCGCTTACAAAAAGATCCCCATGTACAAAATATTACTATTGTTCAGTTTGTTATTTCCTTTTTTAAAACAACGATTAATTGTTGATAAAATGATTAATTACATAATAAAATAAGTGTTGATGCATCATTTGTGTTGATTGCATAACATTTCTGTGCTCTTCCTATCTTATTTTCATTTAACCATGAGCAGCATCTACAGTTCAAATAGGACCCTTTGTTGTTTACATTTGGGTATGATGAGTAAATTCCATAGATGAATCACTCCTGTGCTTTTATTCTGAAGGTCAGGAGCCTATATAGGAAGTACTTATATTACTACAGAAATGCAACTTGCTAAGCGCTTGTCAAAGACAATTTAGGCTCCGTAGTCAGATCATTCCCAGCGTTTACTTTGGAGGCTGCGCAGAGCCAAACACTTGCTGTGCAGGTTCTGCTTGAACGGAAAATTATTTGACCGAGGTCCAGAGAAGAGGCGGCGGAAGTCTGTAGTTTCTACTCAAAGCCCTCAGGACTCACCTCTGCTACAGGACACGCCAAAGACTTCAAGGCCATAGGATAAAGGCAAGAGAAAAGAACAAGAACAGAAACAAAAACTGGAGAAGAGAAAAAGAAGAGACAAAGAAGTTAAAAGGAGAACACATAGGTAAGTTATATTAGTATCAGAAGAGACAGACACAAAGGTTTAATGTACAGGGAAACTTGACACTGATATATATGAAATATTTGTCTTAATAATATGTATGTAAGAATGTAATGTGACGTGTTTTTGAGCTTTTTAACACTAGAACCACCAGAGGTCGCTGTATACCTAAAACCGCCAACGGGTAAAATGTACCCGCTATTGATTTGCAAGGGACAATGTTATTTTATTTATCATACAGAACAGTGAGTTTTGATCGCACAGGGATGACATTTATACCAATAGAATCTGTGGACTCTCAGCTTTTCAGATGATATAGTTTGTGCAGATAGCATGAAGTATAAAATATCGCTACAAGTGCTGATTTAAACGCTTGGTGTTAGACTTGTGTTTTGTTTAGGTACAAATCTCTCAATCTCAATCTATCTATCTATAACTATCTATCGATCCATCTGTAATGTTCTGTTCTATGGACATATAATTGTCTACATAAACAGACGACGCGGACTACTTCTCTCATTCCGAGTGTCCATCTTTATTCAACTGGCACGTAACCTGCACACATGCATTACGTCCTCAACGTGAGCTCAGTCATCCAAGATCTTGTATTCTCCAAGATGTTACACTATCTATAACTATATATCTCTCTCTCTCTCTCTCTCTATCTATCTCTCTATCTATAAGGAAACGCAGTAGACAAAAGGCGTTGCTATAGCAACACGTCATGTTTACGCTGCATTTTCTATGAGGTAAATATTACCCGCTGGCGGATATGGGTATAAATGGCAATTTATTTGGCAATCTGACTTCCTATTGACAATTTTTAACAACAGAGGGTGCTATATAACACACTTTCAGGAAAAGTCACGGACTGGGAGACTTTAATATGTTATGGAAAAAAAGTGACATACAATCAAAAAACAGCTGCGGGTAAAATTTACCCGTTGGCGGTTCTAGTGTTAAAAGGAGGAAATAAAACCTGGGAATTTAAATAAAATAACTTTCACCCTGAAATGGTTCAAAGAAGTATAAAGTGACATAAGAACAAGTGAATATAGTTAATTGCATTATACCACAAATATTTCCTTTATGTCCACGTTCTACTACTCACCATGTTCCTCACGTTCACAGAGCAGTTTGCAGGACTCTGGCTCTACTGCACATGTTCTATTAATTTCTATGTCTAGGATTACAACCATATTCAAATTGAAATACTGCTATTCTTTACTGTATTTTTTACAATTTTGTAATGTTATTATAGCTGTCTTTTTCATCTATTTTTTTAATCTTTGTTTTATTTTATGTATGTTTATGGACCAAAACACCAAGTCAAATTCCTCGTCTGTGTCAACCTAACTGGTAATGAACCTGATTCTGATTCTAACCAAGGATTAGGACCTCCAGCTCATGATATTAATAATAATAATCCATTTTATTTATAAGCACACTTTTCATTTGAGTAAACAAAACTCAAAGTGCCCCACAACCCTAACACCACTTCAATCAGGAGAGACGTGATGTATGGAATACATGTTTATTATCGGGTCACATTATATAAATGAAATCTAATGATGACAGTTTATAACAAGTGAATGAAATGGTGCTTGGCGATTAGGCCCAGGTTTTGTAGGATGTCATTCGGGAAGGGAAGAACCGTTTCCGATGAACCCCCCTGGGTCTAGACACTGGTGGTGGTGATAAGTGGTTAGGTCCGGTTGGAAGGGAGGAGGTTGAGCTTGGCCCTGAGTTGGAAGCAGGAGGCGAAGGGGTGGAGGAGGGTTGCGCGTTGGCACCTGGAAGACAGCTGATGGAAAAGGGGAGAGCATATATGGAGGGATTAACGGGTGCGATGATTAGGCTTGTGAATGGAGGGACGTGATAGGTTAGCTGAGGAGTGGCGCTCCCTATCATTTAGTGAAGGGAGC